TCCCACTTGAATGGCTGGCCCTTGGTTGGTATCCGGGAACTTGGATTTTGGGAGGGTTCCCACCATTCCATAGCTGGTAAGAGTGGCTGTGCCTAAGTGTTGATACAAACCAGGTGTCTTATCCTGTATACTTGATTTCCTTCAGGGAACCTGGAATTTTGGTATACGCTAGGGAGAAGATGCCTACATGATTATCACTTCAAGAAAACTTCAGGCACTGGGCGCCTGGGTGGCTCAGTTGGTTAAGCGACTGCCTTCGGCTCAGGTCATGATCCTGGAGTCCCGGGATCGAGTCCCGCATCGGGCTCCCTGCTTGGCAGGGAGTCTGCTTCTCCCTCTGACCCTCCTCCCTCTCATGCTGTCTCTCATTCTCTCTGTCTCAAATAAATAAATAAAATTTAAAAGAAAACTTCAGGCACTGAGTCTCTACAAGATTCTTGTATTGGCAGACAACATTTCATATGTGTTGTCATAATTTGATGCTGGAGGAATTAAGCACATAACTTGATGCTGGAGGAATTAAGCACAGCCATAGGCAGAGGATTCTTAGAAGCCTGCACTTGGTTTCCTCTAGACTTCACTCCATGCACCTTTCCTCTGTGCTGATTTTGCTTTGTATCCTTTCACCGTAAACCAAAGGCATGAGTACAAATATGCTAAGACCTGTGAGTTCTTCTAGTGAATAACCAAATCTGGGTGTCGTTCTGGGAGCCTCTAATACAACTGCATTATATGAAATTTTTATGATTTGGGTTGATATTTTATACATGATTACAGTCAGATGGTTATTTCACAGAACACCTTTCCTTGAATCTGGTTTTCTTAGTATCTGCCTTGGAGATTCCTGTTTTTCTATGCCCATCTGAATAAAGGCATAAAAAGAAGAGATGACATAATGATCAGAAAATAATGTCAAACAAGCAACAATCTTATTTTAATCAGGAAAAAAAAGAGAATCCTGATGATGACCAAAATGTTCTACAGTATAAAATTTCCTATAAAAAAATGAAAAGATCACATAAATTTTCTCCAACTAAATAGGGATTAATTCGGGGCGCATGGGTGGCTCAGTGGTTAAGCGTTTGATTTCAGCTCGGGTCATGGTCCCAGGGTCCTGAGATTGAGCCCCACATCGGGCTCCCTGCTCAGCAGGAAGCTTGCTTCTCCCTCTCCCATTCCCCCTAGTTGTGTTCCCTTTCTCGCTGTGTCTCTCTCTGTCAAATAAATAAATAAAATATTTAAAAAAAAAAAAGGAACTGAGGATATGGAATCAGAAAATCTGGGTTTGAATCCAGACACTGTCTAATACAAGATACGGAATTTTAGGCTAGGCACTTGATGCCTCTTAACTGCAGACTGATCATCTGTTAAAAAAAAAGAAAATCATAGAATTATTGTAATAATTGACATTATTTATAACTGGCATACATTGTACAGTATCACAAACATTAGCTTTTACGTACTCCAAAGTATTCCTTCTCAAAAATTACCTGCCTTCCAAGATCAAATGTGCATAATGAGCAATGAGCATAAGCTAACATCATGGAAAAAGAAAAACAAGGTAAACTAAGTAGCTCACTGATGATATCCCCTTCATACTCCCAGACTTTAGAATATACTTGTTAGGGTCGCCTGGGTGGCTCAGTCGTTAAGCGTCTGCCTTCAGCTCAGGTCATGATCCCAGGGTCCTGTGATGGAGTCCCCCATGGGGTTCCTTGCTCAGCGGGAGCCTGCTTCTCCCTCTGCTGCTCCCCCTGCTTGTGATCTCTCTCTCTCTCTCTCTCTCTCTGACAAATAAATAAATAAATAAAATCTTAAAAAAAAAAAAAAAAGTCCCAGATTTTAAAAAAAGGAATACACTTGCTAACCCAAATATAGCTCTGGTTGGGGGAATGCGAGGCAGAAAAATTAAATTAACAAGTTAAGTTGTATGGAAGACTTGTATGTCTTTCCCCAATCTAGCAATCTGCATGCTGAGAAACTTTTCTTAAGCAGTTTCTACTCCTTTTCACTTAGCTTACCTTCCTATTCCCCAAGACAGTTCCCATGACAAAGGCAATACAGACCCTAAAGTAGAGCAAAGAGAACTGGCCAGAAGAGTGTGTGCAAGTTGAGGAGTACTGTCCTTGACATAACCCACCAGAAAAACTCAGACTAAAGACAGAAAAAGGCAAAGATTATTCCTCATGTCTTTATAAAAAATATTTTATATTTTGAATATTATTTCCCCATAGCAATTTCAAAAGCCCCATCCTTTTTACAATAATAGACTCTTTTGAGAAGTTTTGCTATTAATAAAACAATTTAATAATTAAAGTCAACAGGACCTGACGAGCTAAGAACATGCTCTAGGCTCAACTGCACTACAGCCAAAAGACCTTGTCTGCTAAACAACTCACCTGAACTGAACTGTAGGAAAACAAAACAAAAATTGAACTCAGGATAAAAATCACCCAGGCAATAAATTAACTCATCTTGAGTATAAAAAATTCTCAAAACACAAGTGACTGCATATTTTCCCTGAGAGGTTGTATGTTTATGTAGGAAGTTGGTTATAACCCAATCAGGGTCACAGAAAGGATATAGAAAGATCTCAAAAGACATCTAAATGGATATATCTAGCACCAAAGTTAGCAGCACAGCATGCCACAAAGACAGCTACTGTATCAACTTCCACAGTCTCCATCATCTCTGAGCCTTTCTGAGCCTGACCCCACCTGAGCATCTCAGGAAAGCAGTTAGTAGCCTGCATCATGCTGCCCAAGGTTTCAAGGCTACTAAAACAAACATTGTGTGAATTTCATCTCCCACGCGCCCCCCCCCCCCCCCACCACAGGAAAATCAGAATACCTCACTGGTGTCAAGTTTACAACAACCAAAAACAATTTGGGGCCACTGGCAATGGCTATGGCACCATGGTACTAACATGTTTAAGAGAGACTACAAGAGAAATACCATGATTTCTCTTAACTAGGAATATTACCAATAAAGTTTAAAAGTGCTTCAGAGCTACATGATAGTGGCAAGAGAAGAGAAACAAGGTCAGGGAGGAAAAAAATGAAAACCTTACAGCACACAACTACCTGAAAAAAAAGTAGTCAACAGACAAGTTAAAACACGTTTGCATTTGCCAACACATAGCAGTTACCACACCATACATTTGTCAGATTTCCCAACCCGCAAAACAAAAGAAGCCACCCTTTTATGAAGTACTCATCTACTGACTTCTACAAAGAAATGACTTTTCTGGATTGGGGGCAAATTAACTTCCTGTGCTTTCACTCTGACTTTCAAAATCTTCAAAACCTTCAGCAAATTGAGATTCACCTCAATTTTAAGGCTTTTTCGTGTTAGGTTGAATACACGTTGTATGTGTTAATATCAAAACTACAAGACCACTTCTCTCTTTGAAAACTATATTCACGTTCCTATAGATTTTAGAATTTTTTTTTAAAAGGCTAACTACAAAGTTTGCAAAAACAAGTAATACAGTAGACCGTGGTGGGCATTCAACAAGTTTATCAGAACTCCTACTAAAGTAAAAGCTTGAAGAAGTTTATGAGATAAATTCCTACTGCTGATACTGAAGACAGAATGTTACTAATATGGAAATTGAGAAATATTCAAAATATTCTGAAAACAGTATCTCCTTCTAAAAATAAAAGCATTTGCCAACACAGAAAACTACTGGTTCTTAAAAATGATAATCAGATGGGAGGCATTTCTATAAATACTTAAGTTCTGTATCGCAATAACCCGATTCTTTCAACGCACGTTTGGGTTATGTCTTATCCTAACAAGAGGATTTTTGATGCCATTATATTGATACAAAGGACTCTCTGCTCTTTATTTGCTTCTATAGCAAACTGTTGGTTTACCCAGTTAAAGATCTACAAACCAAACTACCAAAACATAAATCACTTTCAATCATTAAAATAAAAACAAACGAGAATCTGTCATAAATAAGGGCTCAAGAATGCCCTAAAAAATGTACAACAACATTTAATCTTATGGTCCTAGGACTAAATATGTTCGATAATCTATCTGGATTCATATTCTATGCATTTACTTAGGTCGGAAAGAGAAAAACCTCAGAAAATAAGCAACCGGCGGTTACAACCGTTCTATTTTAAGTTACTTATAAAGCCAACAGTTCAAGCACTTTTGGGGAAGAGAGAGTAAGACGTTTTTCCAAGTAGTTAAGAATAATTTACGTTTTATAATAACGATAGTCCTAACAAGCTCTAGAATACACTATGGTGGGGCGGAAGTGAAAATGATGAGGGGGAAAAAACCCGACTTGAAAACGGACAACCAGGCAAATTTACAAACCTTCAGTTAAAGGAATTTTGAGATTAACTTCTCTTACACGCCCTCCCTCCCTCCCCACCGCTTCCTCCTCTCCTCGGGGAGGTCTGTGTAATGTGACTCATGACAAATTCTTTAAAAAATAAATAAATAAAAGACACACCCTCTGGGTTGAACTGACATAATCGCCCCCACCGCGCCCTCCCCGACACACACCCCGCTTTTCCTCTCCCTTCTGCCGCTCCTCCCCGCGCCTCGTCCCTGCCCTTTCCTCTCCCCGTCCGAGACGCCTCTCGGGACGGAGGGGCAGCCGGCTCTCCCACACGAGTCCAGCGAAGGGCAGGCTGCCGAGGGCAGCGCGCGACCCGGGGGGCCCAGCCCGGGGGGGGCGGACAGCGGGGGGCGCCGGGCTGCGGCGGCGGCGAGCTCTGGGTTCCCTCGCCCATCTTCCCTCTGCCCTTCTACCGGTTTCAACCACCACAGCCACTTCCTGTATCGCAGCCCGACTCCCTCAGCGCGGCCACTTGCTCTCCCCGGCGGGGGGTGGGGGTTGGGGTTGGGGCTGAGGCAGCCGCGGAGGTTAGGGCAGCTCCCCACCCCGCCCAGTGGGCTGGTCACTGGGCGCCAGGCTGTGGATCCTCGGCCCGGCCGGCCAGCGCCCGCCCGCCCGCCCGCGCGCCCGCGCCCCTCACCTGGATGTAGTTGTTCTCACAGTAGTCCGCCACCCGGGTCAGATTCTGGTAACTCTCTATCAGCGCCCTCTTGCCAGACGGGATCTCCTCCTCTAGTAACATCTGCAGCTCTGCCATTTTCCACCCCTCTGCATCGCTTCCTCTCGCGTTAAAGGGACAGAGGCAGCAAGGTCCGCCGAGGAGCCGAGCACCTCACAGCCCCGATACAAACCGCCGACCGCCCTCCCGCCTGGTATTGTGGGACGGCACCTCCTCCTCTTCCGCCTCACTCTCTCCACCCCGCTCCGCTCACTTCGCGCAGCCGCCTCAATCCCGTTCTCTCGCGAGCCCTCACGTTTTCCCTCCTCCTCCCCGCCACCACGGGATTTTTTTCTTTGCATGGTCTTCTGGGAATTGTAGTCTCTCGCGGTCTACGCGGCCCATCGAAAGCGCATGCGTTTAGGGGAGCCTCCGAAAAAGAACGGGGAGGAGCGTAAAGGACAGCCCAGGGAGGAAGTTTAAGTGCGAAGTTTCCCGACATCTCCGGCAGGTGGCGCCACAGGGTGACTCTAGAGAATAAAATCCTTTCCCCGAGAAGGCTGTGAAAATTGGCAGAATTTGCTTGATTAGGAAGTGTCAGTGAATAAGAGATACCAATTCTGATACGGGATTAAGAAGGGCTAGAATATGAAGAAATCCAAATCTTTACTTCCTCTTCTCAGACATAACGCGACTCAGACTTTACTTTCTAAACTTCCTGCACCCTCAATTTTTCATTTAAAATTTAGCAAACATTTATCATTGACAGCTCTGTACCAAGCAATGTACTACACACTGGGGGTATGGGTTGAACAAGGATGCTCTGTACCTGTAGAGACTCACAATTTAAAAATAAATACACATAATTTCAGTGTTATCCCATCCTAATCGCTTTTTCTTTGTCTCTTCTTTGCAAATATCTCCCTACACTTTTGAAGTTAGGTACGCATTATCTAGATTACAGAAAATCATTTCGTTGTCTTTCTTTATCAACTGCTTTGTAATAGTGTAAAAGGCCCTATATCTCAAGATTTTCGTTTCAACAAGAACATTAAATGCTTTTGAAATAATGAGCTATGAATAGTGGTGTCCAATGGCCAAAAAGCAAACTAATTTAAAAATCATTTAAAAATCCATATTTCATCTCTCCACTAAGTCATTTCAAATCACAATAACTATAGGGATAATAACATGACCCAGTCACATTTTTAAAAACTGACCCATCAATAGGTATTTATTGAATATTATCTTTACTAGAGGCCATAAAATGTTCAACCTGTAAAAGGAAAAATTTCAGTCTCCTACATGAGAAAACTACCCCCAGCCACCAGATTCCCAGATCCATAAATCAATAAACAGCTTACTCTCCATAATTATCTGGAATAGACATAATAGTCTTTCTTTAATATTTTCCTTAATCCAAGCATTATTTCATCCAAGTTCTTGAAATGTGATATATTTGGTGCCCAAATAGGGTGTCTTCTCTTGATCAGATGGGGGCCCCCAAATGCGGGGCCACAGTTGGGTGGAAGCCACTAGCACCAGCAGTTAAAGAATTCAAGTGAAGCAGAAGGAAATAGAAGGTTATTGAATCCACCGCAAGGGGGCCAGGGGCAGGACAGCAGAGAGGCTGTCTGCAAGGCGTCAGTGGGTGGGGGCTGTTTTTAAAGGGGGAAGACGAGGAGGTATGGAGACATATGGAATATTCCCTTTTTGGGGAACTGTGCCCAGTTGTAAGTAGCCCATTGGTTAGTTAGGGCCTATGGATATTTTGAGGTGGGTCCCCTGATGGGCTTGTCTGTATTTAGCCAGGTGGTCGATGTGCCCTTTCTACATTCCATTATTCCAGCTTGTTTGCCTAAAAACTGCCTTTACAATAAATTCTTTTTTTTTTAATGTGATATATTCTTAAATTTGGTCTCCACATGAGCCAGAATTAACTACAGTCATCACTAAGCTTGCTTACATCCATATATTGACACCTTTCTTTCTTTTTTAGTTTTGATTTTTTGGTTTTTTGTTTTAGTAATCTCTATACCCAACGTGGGGCTTCAGGTCAGGACCCTGAGATAGAGGGTCACATGCTCTTCTGGCTGAGCCAGCTGGGTGGCCCCATATTTTGATATCTTTCAACAGCACTGGGGAGGTAAATAAACAGTTGCCCCTGCTTTACTATTTTCAAAGTATTACCAGATTTCTTTCATGCCCACAACTCTGAGAGATAAATGACCTAAAGATTTGTTTCTATCTTTACCAAATAAGGAAATTTAAGCTTAGACAGCAAGGGATTTAACTAAGAACACTGAAAATAATAATTAAGTTCTCTGACTTCTAGATCAGTGCTCTTTCCTACAATCCAGTTAAATCTATCTGTTCAAATACTTGTCATTTATATAAAATCCATTCAAAGAAGTTATCCCTCATACCTCCAAGTTAATTGAATTGAATATGCTATCCTTTGTATTTTTATTTTTAAAAAATAGTTTGATAATTATAGTCTGTAATCAGACAATGTTTCTTTTTTTTTTTTTTTAAGATTTTATTTTTTGAGAGAGAGAGAGTGAGCAAGAGAGAGAGAGAAAGCACCAGCCAGGGGAGGGGCAGAGAAGCAGACTCCCCACTGAGCAGGGAGTCTGGGATCATGACCTGAGCCAAAGGCAGACACCTAACCGACTGAGCCACGGGGTGCCCCCAGGCAATATTTCTTAATTTAAAACCAAATGGTGTCAACTACACTTCAACTTAAAAAAGGGTATTTGTGGGTGCCTGTGTGGCTCAGCTGTTTAGCATCTGCCTTCGGTTCAGGTCATGATCCCAGGGTCCTGGGATCGAGCCCCACATTGGGTTCCTTGCTCGGCAGGGAAGCCTGCTTCTCCCTCTCCCACTCCCCCTGCTTGTGTTCCCTCTCTCGCTGTGTCTCTCTCCATCAAATAAATAAAATCTTAAAAAAAAAAAAAAAAAGCCCCATACTTAATAGACTGAGCTGCTCAGGCGCCCTGTAGTGTAAATTTTGATTTTGTTTTTCTTCTTAAGATTTTATTTATTTGAAAGAGAGAGACAGACAGAAATAGCGACAGAGATAGCAAGAGAGAGCACAAGCAGGGAGGAGAGAGAGAAGCAGACTATCCGCTGAGCAGGGAGCCCGATGCAGGGCTCAATGCGGGGCTTCATCCCAGGACCTTGGGATCATGACCTGGGCCGAAGGCAGAGGCTTAACCCACTAAGCCACCGAGGTGCCCTGTAGTGTAAATTTTAAAAGACTACACTACACACCCATTAGAATAGCTAAAATAAAATATCCTGACAATAGCAGACAGTAGTGAGAATGGAGAATGATTGGACTCTCATACCTTACTGGCTGCAAACTGCTACAGCCCCTTTAGAAAGCAGTCTTCACAGTTTCTTATAAAGCCAAATATATACATAATATATAACCTAGCAATCCTGCTTGTAGGTATTTACTCCAGAGAAATGAAAATGTATGTTCACACAAAAACCACTATTTGAATGTTTATAGTAGCTATATACATAATCACTAAAAGATGGGAACAACACAAATGTCCTTCAACCAGCTATGGATAAACAAACAATAGAATACTATTCTGCAATAAAATGTAATAAACTATATATGCATACAAAGTCATGGGTAAATCTCAAATGCAATTTGCTAAGTGAAAGAAGACGTACACACACACACCTACATATTGTATTATTTCATTTATATGAAATTTTAGAAAAGGCAAAACTCCCGAGATAAAAATTAGATCAGACTTTGCCAGAGGCCAGATTCCAAACAGACACAAATAAACTTTTAGAGGTGATGGAAATGTTCTAGATCATGATTATAGTGAGGGTTACATGACTAAATACACTTCTCAAACTTTATTGAATTGCACACTTACAATCAGTGAGTTTTATTGTAACTAAATTATATCTAACTGAAGCTGACCCCAAAGAAAATACAAGCAGAAGAAAAATCCCTTGCTTCAAATATTAAAGAAAAGGGAAAAAATTACATATTTTTGTTAGCTTTGATAGGATAAAAAATCATCCAACCCAGAAAGATAGGAAACGACTTGCTTTTCCAAGTTATAAAGGTGACTAAATGGTAGAGTTAACATTAAAAAATTGCAAGCAGACATGGTGACACTAGGTTATGAACATCATGAAAACTTTTGGGTCCAGTTTCCCTCCCACAATGTACACTTTTATACTATTTACTGATTTAGCATATTTCTTATTTTGTAAGAGTTTGGGGGTTCTTTTTGTTTTGGTTTGTTTTAAAGATTCTATTCATTGGGAGGCCTGGGTGGCTCAGGTGGTTGAGTGACTGCCTTCAGGCTCAGGTCATGATCCTGGAGTCTGAGGATCGAGCCCCACATCGGGCTCCCTGCTCAGCAGGGAGTCTGCTTCTGCTTCTCCCTCTGACCCTCCTCCCTCTCAGGCTCTCTCTCTCAAATAAATAAATAAAAACTTTAAAAAAAAAAAAAGATTCTATTCATTTATTTGTCTGAGAGAGAGTGAGCACAAGCAGGGGGAGCAGCAGGCAGAGGGAGAAGTAGGCTCCCCGCTGAGCAGGGAGCCCGATGCAGGACTCCATCCCAGGACCCTGGGATCATGACCTGAGCCAAAGGCAGATGCTTAAACAACTGAGCCACCCCGGCATCCCTGAATTTAGTATTTTTCTATGGGTTTTGTTTGAATACATTAAAATGAAATGTCTTTCAAAGAAATCCCAACAGAATAAAGAATAAGAGTGTCTGTATTAAACTACATGATGTATACTGAAGACTCAAGCTGAAAATCACCTTATATATTTCATTTCATGGATGTCTAGTCAAGATAATCAATTTGGTCATGAAAAACAATTTATAATTGCAAATTCTGCACATATGCATGGGGATAAATGGAAATTTCATACATTCAACTTTGAAATAGCAGATTGCTGATAATCATAAAGACCTTACTTCAGAGGGATTAAGAGATGTGCCAGGAAAGAATAATTTGGACTATATTGGTACAAGATTGCTTCTCGTGTTATCTGGGATACAAGTGATACTGCATACTTAGTGAACGTCAGACTTCTGCACAGTTAATTCACAATATTGCATTCCAGGATACTAAATTAGAATTGTGTGGTCAACAAACAAGAATGTAGACTAGAAACGTGGTATAATGGAAGGAAACCAGGAGTCAGGCAACCAGGCTTCTTCCCCCACCATCCCTCCTGTCCTTATCCATGACCACTATGTGACATGATCACG